ACATCCTTGGTATCATGTTGTTCACTGAGTTGATTCCCCCCCTTCCATCTTGATGTTTCTTGGCATCTCTTTATGACCATATATTTACGAGTTACTAACATTTATAACTGCCAAAAGGGAGCCTTATTGTAAATTGTAAAACACATTCTCATTTATTAATGAGTTACTACCATTTCTAATAAGCAGTGGCGGCGCCAGGGTATGGCTGGGGTAGGCTACAGCCATACCAAGAAATGGCTTAGCCCCACCTTAGCCCCGCCATGAAAAATGATGTTAAAGTAAGCAAAATAAAGTCCGCCAACTCGCGGAGTAAATTGCACAGACAGCAGTTAGTAAGATTGATTTCAGCAGCCACTTGTCTGCAAATACCGAAGACTAGAAACGGTTTTGAAATTTTTTGTCACGTAGTGATCGTCTTCTCAATAAAACATCTTTAATAATGTCTTCTGGACAATCAGAATCACGATAACGGCGTGGTGTTGTTGCAGGAAGTCCCGACGGAGAATACTTTTGCGGTAGTACATCTCTATACATCGATACAACACTACGTGTTGATAGAAATCAACACGTAATGAAATAAGACCCCACGGTTTGATGATTGATAGGTGTGTGGGCTGTCTTTTATTTTGACACACAGAACAATGGGGGTTATCCACCCTTATCCACAATGTAAAGTAATTCACACAGCCTCTTCCCTCTTCTCTCTGTGAGGAGCAGCAGGTTCAGCTTTCAGAACAAAGTAACACAAAACTAAAATGGCATTCATTTTTTTAAATGTGTAGTAATAGATTTATTTATTTTTCTTCTCAAGAGAGTACCAGAATGTGTATTTTATGTTAGTATTTCAAAAAATCTCCTGGGGGAGAATCCCCCCAGACCCCCCTGCAGGGGTTGGGTTTTCAGCATGTCAACTCTTTCACTTGTGGGGAAATTGCAGGATTGGCTCCAGGTTGCCCTTTTTATTTACTACAAGACAAATGTGCCTTTTTATTTCATACAGTTCAATTTGGATTGAGACAGGGAAATAATCTAAACCTCACGCGTGGCGTTTCACTGTCAAGGGGGGCGATATAGCGTGTATGTAATTACATTGCAAATACTGACTTGAGCCCACCACTGTATGGGTTAGCCCTACCATAGATTACCCAACAAAAATACTCTGGAGCCGCCACTGCTAATAAGGCTTAGCAGTACAGATAAATGTGGGCTCACTATTTGGCAAGCAACCGGTCACAGTTGCCCTGTTTATCTCATGTAATAAATGAATTACAAACTATTCGTAAACCCTTTATAAGGGTAGTCTTATTGTAAAGTGGTACCCAGAATGGTAACAATTTTCGCTTGAGCAAGCAGGTCAAAAATATGGATGTGCACTAGATGTTTCCAACAGTGATGAAAGCATGATTGTAAAGTGTTTCTTTTTGAAATTGTGTCTTGTAATTTTCTGTTGAACTCTTATTGGGAGTGCTTTTAAATTGGTACAATTTACATTTTAAACAGAAGAAAAAAGAAATGAGTACGTTCCAAACTGAGTGGGATTGGAAAAGTTATATTTCTGCCCTTGCATACAGGGTACAGTGATGGGTTAATGCTTTACAGTTTGTCACAAATCTCAGTGCACTGTGATACGCAGCATCTAACTTGACCAGGCAATTGGCAGGTGCATTCATATAAATCAGATCACCATAGTCCAGCACAGGTAAAAAGGTCACAGCCTTTTCCTGGCCTCGAGCGAGAAACAGGACTTGTTCCTGTAGAAGAAACCTAGCCTAACCCTCAGTTGAACTATAGTTATTAAAGGGAGGTTATCTTCACATTCAGTAGGAATAGGAGGAACATTTGCAGGGACCACAAACTGTTTCAATGTGGGCATTTGATAAACTGTGAATCTGACCCTTAATAAACAGGATATTTTTGAAGAGAGATTCAAAATGTAATCATGGCAGATAACTAACTGGATCCCTTTTCTTTTTTTTGTTGAGCTGTTTGAATTTGTTAACACTTTATATTAAGGTAAACATATTCACCATCAACTTGTTGTTAATTTACATGCATATTAGCAGTATATTGGCTCTTTATTAGTCATTATAAAACATTTATTAATGCCTTATTCTACATGACCATATTCTACAAGTACTAAGCCATTAGTTAAGAGTTTTTCCTCAATAACCCTCTAATTAGTGCTTATTTATTTAAGTAAAGAAGTTGTTTTGGTCTTAATATGCTCAATATGGACCTAATAAGGCAGTAGTACCACAAGAATAGTAATTCTCCCATAATAACACCAAACAAATACGGTATATTCTTATGTAACAAGACATGAAACTACAAGTGTTTATTTTTATAAATAACAAAAGATTTGGTATTTCCAACTCAGAAACACATTATGTTCCCTATTTTAAAGTGAAGTCTTGTTCATAACAAACAAGCTAATAGTTTGTCTCTGTTAATTAACAATTAGTTGATGGTGAATAAGTGTACCTTAACCCTTTCATGCATAGAGGTCACTACAGTGGACAGCTATTCAAAAGGTGTTTTCTTGTATATGTATTGTTTTTTTTTGCATAGTTGCACCATCAGCCACTACATAGGACCCTATTGCATCATCCCATACACTTCTATTCGGTGGAAAGTTAGTGTAAGTGCATGTCTACATGTCTCTAAACCAAGATGGACGACAGAAAGCCACATGGACCAAGTCACCCATCTATATCTTGCCAATCCTTTCATGGAAAGCGCTCCCTGCAGGTATAAAAAATGTGGTGACATCAAGTAACAACTAAGGAATCATATAATTCATAAATTATCAAAGTATTGATTTTATGTTTGCAGGAAATCATGATTAACCACCTGTCCACTACAGTGGACGTCATGCATCACTGGCTATATTTCAACTACAATTCATACTGGTACTGCTGCTGCTGTACCCAGGGCCGTCCCTCCCTACAGGCAGATCACGCAGACTGTGTGGGGCCTCACCTTGTGGAGGGGGCCACACCTTGTGGAGGGGGGCCTCATCTGAGGCGCACCTATGCGCTTATGTGGCGCAATTAGGGTGGCGCGGAACGGTTTCGCCGCTGCGAGGCGCCACTAGCACTCATCAAATAACTGTGCGTGGGGCCTCAAATTGGCCCCTGGCCCTGGTTATTCTTGAAAATATTTCATCTGCAATATCTTTTTGCGCCGTAAATCAATATACTTATGTTATTATAATGTAATTTTAAGTTTGCACATCTTTATTTATCATTTTTTCCAAATGTACATCTTTTCAGTTCAAACCCTGAATGCATACTGTCCACCTGAGTGGACATATAAAAATCTATTTTAAAAAAATAGATTAAAAAAAAAAAATTGTCAAATCTTGTTTTTCATGCCCCAAGAGCAATAATAACACTTGGTAAAAAAATCCTGACTGAGGTTTTCATAATTCATGCATGAAAGGGTTAATATAAAGTGTTACCGTGAATTGTTATGAAGACAGGCATTTCAAACTGCTCTAGCTTAGACAATGATTGCAGTGGTTTCTGGTCAATATTGCACGTTTCCCTATAAAAGTGGGACTGTAAAAAGAAAATAATAGATTAGCACTAAAGCACTTGAGATATAGCTTGCATATATTTGTTCACACCCCTCTTCTGATGATGCTTTAGGCACCAATATATTCAACAGCTATCTCTTCTGAATTCCTTACAGCCGTCTGCACAATGTCTTGAGTGAAAAGACTGTGTAATATAATTTGCAATCTTGTTAGACATCATTTTGGCAAGAGCTAATGCTGCGATGAATCCCGACCAGTGCTGTTTACACTTTCCTTGTTATTCTCTGGCACTGTAAATGCTTCACATCTTTAGTTGTGGTCAGGTCTTTAACTAGGCGAGTTGTTTTTACATCACTGAATTAACCGGTCTAGTGTGAGATCTGTCAGTTATTCAGCTGTGTTGTAAATTCCTGCCAACATCCTGTTTAAATCACTAAATCCTTTCAAGCTTTCCTGTTGTCGAATCTGCACCTGCTATAAGGTCAAGTGCAACAATAACTCACATGAAAAGCTCAAGCGTCAAAGTCAAGCCTTGTCATTTATTGCCTAAACACAAACGTGTTATTGTCCATCATGGCGCAAGGTAATAAAAACTCCAAACATTTCTGCCGCAAAGACCCTGAATGACTCACGAGGCTGTCCTGAGAATGAAGGCCAGCCAGAAGAGCAGACGTTTGAAGAAAAATGCAAAATGAGTCACTGGATTTCTCATCTGACACTGCAAAAACATACAACACAATTCCCATAGATGTCTTTTTCACTTGTAGATTACATGAAAAAAGGTTAAAGGAGATGTGTGCCTTGGGAAGCTTTTATATTCTTGATTTTCTTATTATTTTTTTAATGTGAACTACCTGTAGTGATAATAAAATGCAGTGTGAAATGGACTTTCTGAAATATCGGGCACACTATCAAGCCTCCCCGGGACTTTTCCATTAGTTGTAGTCCTTGACATGGACAACATGCTGTTTTTTGGCATTTTCCACACAATAGCATCATCTGCTGGAGCTCGCTGCCTAGCCAACGTCACACCTCCTTCTGAAACTGTTCACTAGAGGGTGCCAAACACAACTTAAATGCAGAAACAGGCATTGCAGATCCAGTGAATCAATCCACAACATTTAGATGTATTTTAAACTCCCCATTACATGTCTTTTTTGACTTCCATAAGCGCCTCAATCACTGCTAAACAGATGTATGAACGGTCCCAGTTTATAATAGAAATGACTGTAAAGTGCATAGTTGCTATATTTCAGTGAAGCATGTCATCTGTAATGAGAACAGATTATCTTGTGGATGTGGCGCACTAAAAAAAGTGTTGTAGTAGAATATCTTTGTAGCAAGATTGATCACCAGCAGTCAAATGCATTTTTCCTTTTGCAACTGAGAGAAGCAGGTGCTTTAAAAATGTAAAACCTCATTCACAGTCATCCATTTTATTCTGCAGCGCTGTGCAGGTGGCTTCACTGGCAGCCATTCAGATAAGAAAATAGCGTTCAAACAGAAATTAAAATTACAAAATAAGTTTATTCATATAAACAACTACAAAATTCTATTAAAATGGGTGTTTTTCAGCGGGAGACATATTGGATGATATGGTATTACATTGTTTCACAAAAGCAATATCAAAACACATACAAACAGATAATAAGTTAACCTGTATTCTTCACATAGCTCTTCTGGTTTGACTGAGTTTTTGTAGAGCTCACTCTGTTTGTAAGAGGACGCACAACTATCCTGAGATTCACCGTTTTGCAGATTTGGAACTTGCATGACTGAATAATCCTAAATGTGTCCTCCACTGTGTGTTCTCGCACACCCTCCCACAGATGAAAGTCCCGTATGGCCTCTTATTTACAAAGTATTTCGGAGCTGTGAAGACTGAGACTAACACTGCATAGATGATTCATTCACACCATCAGAAACTTGGGAGTATTTATTTCAGGGCTCCCAGAGTGACTGAGTCCTTCCCCTCGGAGGAGAATGGGAGCGAGGATCGTTTAGTGGTGGCGTAGGAGGCGTACGAGGGGGTGGAGGAGGAGGGTAAACGGGGCAGAGTGGATGTAGAAGAGGGGAGGGGTTGAGTCTGTCTGTCCGGGGGGCCGTACGCCGGAGAGGAAGAGCGGCCCTTGCTCTGCAGGCTGCTGCTGCTGCTGCTCTGCAGGGGGGAGCTGGACGTTTTCGGGCCTCGAGTCAGAGACGACGTGGAGGAGCTGGAGAGAGGCGAGGTCCTCATGCCGTACCCCAGGATGCCTGTACTCATCAGGAACTCCCTGGAGCCGTAGGCCGGAGGAGTGGGGCCACGGGAGCCCGGGGGTCGGATGTTCTCCGGCGGTAAACTCCTCCTGCTGGGGATGTCATAGATCCCCACATCTGGGCCGTACAGGGCCTGGGTCCTGGCTTGGAGACGCAGGATCCTGTCCCTCTCATCCATCTCTCGTCTCTCCTGGATGGATGCCATGATGGTTTTGGAAAAGCTGTCGTAGCGTGCAGTGGAAGACTTCTGAGGCGCCAAACCCTGCGGACCCAGATCGCGGAGGCTGTCTCGGAGACTCTGAGAGGTCAGATCTCGCATCGCCAGACCTGGAGGGGCGACGTCTCGCGATGTTAAGCTCTGGGAGGCCAGGTCCCTCGGCATCATTCCTTGAAAATTGGGAGAAGGGTCTCTTTGGATGAAACCTTGGAAGGACGGCGAGGGATCTCTTGAGGAGAGACCCTGCAGTGAGGGGGACGAGTCTCGAGGCTGAGGGGACTGCCTGGCGACGCCCATGAACACGGGGCTGTAGCCGTGAGGAGAGGCCCGCTGCACCACAGTCCCGTCTGAGCCCAGAGTCATATAGTGAGGGTGGTAGCCCACCGGAGGAGCCCCTCTCTGAGCCAGGAACTGAGGGTCTGCAGGGTTGATGATGTTATCGTAGGAGAGGCTGCTGCTGTGGTTGGCCAGCAGGCTGGAAGAGTGGATGATTCCCGGTGGGGGATTGGATCCCAAACCTTCACCGTGCATGGCAGGTAGGTGAGATTTGCTGCCGTGGCGACTGTTGTGTCTGAGGGTGAGGGAGCGGGAGTTGAGCGTCAGAGAGTTGAGCTGCAGCGGGCTGGAGCTGCTGTTGGTCTGGACAGGAAGTCCGGCCTGCTGACTTCCTCTCGCAGGGCTTTCTTTAGGCTCAGAGCGGGAGTCATGCCTGTTGGTGTTCCCTTGCTGATCTGATGTCTTCAGCAACTAAAAACACAAAGATATAAATATCTGTTAGACAAGGATCAAACTACGATATGGAAAAGAACACCCTACCACATTAATATCAGACTGAAAAGCACCTGCTCCGGAGGAATGGGTGACGATCCTCTGGATATAGCTTCCAGGACAGGCCGTAGCTGCGGCACAGTGGGAATTGATACAGGAATGATAGATTTGGTATGATGTCCCATTTCTAAAACAGAAAACACATTGTGATTAATTGGAGGATACAGAAGGTAGATATGTTTGTAATTTTCTCATTCAAATTCCATAAAAAGAGCAAACTAATGTTGAGTTAGCTGGTATGATTAGTACCTAGTGATTATGTAAGTCATATATATTTTACAACTAAAATATTCATATTTAACAAATGGCTACTTCCTTAAACACTTTGGCACTGTAGTAGCAAAGATACTCAAATAGGAGGAACTACAGTTAGTGTAAAAAATTGCCCACTATATGTATTTTGGCACCATGACTACAGCCCTATGCTGGTCTTTCAATAGGATTTGAAATAAATATCACTAGACATATCCTTTAAATGACTCTGCAGGCTTATGAAATTAGATAGAGATAGATTAGAGTATACTATATATACTTGGTATCTTGTATAAATATGTGTTTAACAGAGTATATATATCCAACAGTACCATCCATAACAGTGAATTGGCTTTTCAGCAGGCCGTGGTCTGGTTTGGGGGGCAGCGGTGGAGGGGTCTTCACAGGCTCCACAGCTCCAGCTGACGTTCGCTGGCAGGAGAAAAAAACACAGAGAAGCATGAGGGATCTGATGTCTTGACAACTGGAGTTACAACCCTTAGACGTGGTGTGAGAACATATTTAACTTTGAATTTGTCATACTTTATTTTGGAGATCCTGACTCTGTATCCCGTTGTCCCTGACCTTCACCGGCCTCTGCCTGTCAATCTCTGGTCTCAGAAACGGAGCCTGGACGTGGATCACTGCTTTCTTACAGGGCCTCGCTGTGTAGCTGGAGTCACATGACAAACAGGGCGTCAGACAGTGAGTTATAAAGCTTCCTGAAAAACGGAGAATTGAGTAGAAGTAATGGATCTTACTTTGGAGCGATGGGGCTGCACACCAGATACTCCAGATTGTTACAACAACCTCGTGTGAAAGGATTTACTCCTCCTTGAAACTTCCCAGTGACCTGTGGCATCAGGAAGAGATAACAGTACACATGTATTCATTATAATTAGATAAATCATGTCAAGGATAATACTTTAGAATAACACAGCTGGTAAATCTAGGGATGGAACGATATGGGATTTTATCTTGGATCGCATTAAAAAAACATAATAAGTTGATCATGGTGAATTACTTTTATCTGGATAATCATGAATATAATCACATTATTTACTTAAAAAAGCTGATCCTGGTTTAAAAATATAGAAATCATCATGAAGGAAAGTGTACACAATATGTGTTATTTGACAAAATGTAAGGTAAAGTGATTTCAGTTGAGTTTTTTAAGCATATTTTAAGAATAATCGGGGGGAATATCACCATGACATTTTTCTGGCCTGGTTAAGTGTTTCAGAGCCTTATACCTTGTTGTTGTAACAACCTTATGTGATAAGTACCTTGGTGTCCATCTAGATAATACACTCAGCTGGAAGGCGCATGTTCAAGGTCTGTGCTCTAGACTTCAGCAGCGGTTGTACTTTCTGCGTCGACTCCGGGCTTTCGGAGTCGACCAGAAGTTCATGTTACTGTTCTATCATGCAGTGTTGGAGAGCATCATGAGGTATGGTATCACTGCCTGGTATGGTAACTTGACAGTGCAGTCAAAGTCACAGATCGCTCGCCTGGTACAGACTGCTATGAAGATTATGGGGGTTAAAAAACACCCATCTCTCCAAAACATATACGAGCAGTCGATTATCAGACAGGCAAAAAAAATTGTGTCTGATCCCACCCACATACTCCACCCAGAATTCCAGCTCCTACCTTCTGGTAGAAGATTCAGGGTTCCCAGGAGCAGGCTGAACCGCTATAAGCACTCATTCCTACCTATGTCGATTAAGCTTCTTAACATTCACATGAAATGATATGTAGTCAAATGTAATGAAATGTACTTTTTAAATGTTGGCCATGAGGGTTGTGCAATAGGTCGCCATTGTCAGTATGTGCGTCTGTGTATTGTGTTTGTTCAAACGGTGTATGACTGATGATATGTGTATGTCTCTTAATGTCCACTATGTTTGTATATGTACATGTATGCACTGCAGGACGGAGTCCAGAACAAATTTCCTTACGGGGACAATAAAGTATATCGTATCGTATCGTATAAAGTTCACTTTTGAATTAAATCAGACTGACCTGTTCATTGGTGGTTCGTCCTCTGGACACCAGGTACAGGTGGAATCCAGCGAGTCCCAGGACCGGGAGAATAAACAGCCCTGATATACTGATCACCACCAAACTGTACATGCTGTTAAGGAAAACTGCTTGATATAAGTCTCATTTAAGTTTGATATATTAACACAAATAATCTCACAGATAGATGCGCTCACACACATCTTGAGTGTGTATAAGGATACGTGACAGTGCAGTGCAGCTTCCACAACTCGTCCCGGTGGTGCAGGACGTATATGAGGCCGAAGGTGAAGACACAGATCATGTGAGCTGTCAGTGAAAATAGAAACAGGAAGAAGTGGCGGTAGTTTCTCCTCCCGATGCAGTTATTCACCCAGGGACAGTGGTGGTCAAAGTCCTGAGGGGACATTGTGGGAGAACATTAAAAGACAGAAAAAAGAACACATACATAACACAGTAGAATCCGATGTGCTTTGTAAATACACTTCGTTTAATGCTGAACGCTTTTTCAAATTGCATTTCTACAGAGACCACAAAGGACCTCAGAAAAGGATTAACCTGATTAATGAGATCTCTCTCCCTCCATCACACTCTGTCCATCATTCACTCTGCAGAAATCCCCTTTATTGACTTTCCCCACACACACACACTGCTACACTCACTCATAAGCGCCACTCTCCCCCAATCTGTCCATCCGTGCCTTTATCACTCATTCTCTACGACTGATTTCCTTACTAAAAGGGATGAATGCCCAGTCTCTTCTCTCAGATTTAACTCACCTCCACACAGTGATCACAGACGCTGCAGTGGGAGCAGCGTGGGGGTCTGTAGAAGTGACACGATGCGCACCATTTCATCCGCACCTGGACGCCCTTCACATCCACGTTTTTGTACAGCGGGGCGCGGAACTCATCATCCTTGTCCTCGTCCTCGTTTGCTGGAAATGTGAAATTGTTCAAAATAACACCTCCACAAATTAAAAACACTGCATTTGACTGTGAGCATAACATCACTTTGATTACGAACCTATTGGAAGCACACCAGCATCCATAAAGGTTGCCATGGTGAAGTTGGCCAGCACAAAAAGGAAGAGGATGGCACAACATGGTGGCACAGCAGGGCAGATGTTCACAGCCAGCCACGGGCATCTGAGTATACAAGCACAACGGAGGGTCAATTCAAAGCAAAATGCACGTTGCAAATCAGAGCTTTTACAAAGTTTTTTGAGCCTTGCAAGTATCCATCCTACAGAAGTTGAGGTTAAGACAAAGCAGGGCGACGACAAAGATTTTAAGGGATAATCTTCATCCCATTTATTCTGATGGGAGCAGAGGCTCACAAAAGTAATTGTTTACAGTGAAAGATAAGCATGTATTAGTGCCCACATCAAGGGATTAAATGATGGGGTCTCTGCTGGCAAAGAGTCTCTGAACCCTGCAGTAAAGGCACGCAGCTAGCTGTGTTACACACTGAAGCAGGTCTGGATACTGCCACTGACATTTGGTTCCATTTTTGGTTCATTATTTGAGCATAAAACATCCAAAAATAATAAAAGATGCATGTTGAACTTACTCATTCTTGCAAATGGTTCTTTTTAGCTTACAAACGGTAATGTATTCAATGAACAATGGTATAAAAAACTGCTTAAATAAACGCTCACATTTGAGAAACTTGAACTACAAAACATCTGGAATTTTCCTTCATATATGACTTTTAACATTTACTAAATTATTATGAGATTGTTGATGTTGGGAAAGCTTAGATCTTCATTAAGAGCTGATTATTTCAATTAATTAGTCAATAAATACATTGAAATTGAAGAGGATGTCATTATTCAAGCAAAATTTCCAATGTTACAATTTGCTGCTTTTCATTTGTTAACAATGTTTACTGAATATTAACTAATAAACTAACTAAGGAAAAACGAGTGTCCTAACAAGTATAACATATTTCTTACTGGACTAAATTCTTAGAGAACCATCACTTTAATTCCCACTGACACACTGTGTGTGTTTTGCGTTATACTGAATGGGAGTATGATTATATCTCTGCTGTGTGAGATTAGAGGGAGGGGCTGTGTAATCAGGGTACAGTGAGGAAAAGATTCACTGGATTATATTAACAGTGTTTGATTGAACATCACATGTTAACCTACATATATACTGTGTGGGAATTCTTTAGTTGAATTAGTTAATGTTATAGTTTTTGGTATGACATAGTTAGAGAAAAAAGGGCCTCATAGGACTGTTGAATGGAAAATGCATAACAGGTGTCTAAATCTATTTATCTCTTTTCCAGATATATTCTCCATGGGAAAGAAAACCATAAATACATTTGAGTGGTTAAAACAAAAGGTCTTATGGAAAGTGAAAACGCTGACAAAATTAAGAGTCATCCGCCTCAATTATGCGCCTCATCCCAGTACAGCTTCAATCCCCAAACCCCCCAGCTGGTTTAAGGCTGTGGGGGAGGGGTCCACCCCCCTCGAGAGGAACGCCTGCTGATGCCATGCCAGCTGCAAACCCAGTAATCCCTGGATTATGATCTCTGGATTACAGACCATTTCTGCTCGTCCAGTGCATTGTGGCTTCCTCACATCAGTAAACACAGATCGCGAGGTCCCCATATATCACACCATACCTTACTATATACTGGATATCATGACATAAATCAAATCAATTCACTAACGGTATACCCGGAGATGACTCCCTTATAGATTCTTAGGAAAGACTGGAGAAAGGACAATATTTTTTTGTAGACTTCAACAAATGTAGAATAATGAAATTATGAGTATCTTAAAATATGTGACAAAAAGATTAAGGAGCATAACATAACACAGCTGGTATTTAGGATATGTATCCAACTCATTCTCACTAAATATGATCTTGTGTTGACATGTGCCTAAACTGTCATAGCTGATCAGATCATTAATCTGTGTAACTCGAGCTGGTTAGTTATAACAGTCACTCACAATGAAAAAATGCTAATAAAAAAAGAATCCTTCAATCATAAATTGTAACCCTGAGATTTTTAAATGTTATAGTATATTTGATGTTCTCCATTTTGTCTTCAGATTCACAGATTAATTATTTATTTTTTCCATTTCAAGGCCAAATTAGCTTGTTATGACAAACACAGGCCCGTTCCCAATCAGTAATGGCGCTGCAGATGAAGGTGAACTGGGAGCATGGTAAGAGTTCATCCGTCTGATTTTCTTATGCAGCAGATTACAGCGTGGACAGCCAGCCTCCATCATCGCTCTGAGGCCATCTGGACCTCAGGGAGAAACAGTTCATTACACTGCAGCACGGCAAAGACAAGCCCCACCTAATGAAACAGCCCGGACAGAGCTGTATTAAATCACACAGAACAGTAAGCTGCACTCGCAATCTGCACGCTGCCCCCATCCCTGCAGTGGGTCAGTGGCACAGCAGACGCCAAACAATTGGTCAAGCAGCGAGCTCGCCACTGATGACAGCCAGAGCTCCCTTCCTCAAACGGGCCATTGTCACGGTTACATAAAGGACATCACTGCCATGTGATGTGTCAGATTTATAAACAGAAAGGACTGGGAGTGATGTCGTGGGTTCAATCTTTTTCATGGGATCAAGGACTTCCTTATTTCCTTATCCATGTTCTCACTGTGTATTATCAGATGGAGATAAAGTAAATTCAGGATTATGATTGTGTAAAAGTTCAAAAAAATCCTTTCAATGGACTTATTTTTCTGATGCACGCAAGTAAAGCAATTTAAGCTTTATACATGACAGAGGATGAGGAATACAAAGTATCTGTATAGTCGATATATGGATTTTTTAAATATTTTTTAAAGGAGACACAACACATTTATGACAAATGAAAAGTTGAAATCTTAAATCTTGTGTGTCTCTCTTTCTCTTTATCAAAAAAGACTGGAATCGGCCTCAATGGTCGCTAATGCATCCTTACAGTCAGAATGGTGGAGAGGTCACAAGAACAGTAGCTTATTCATCTTGTATCATGTCTTACTTTAGTGGATCATAACACTTTTTCTTTATTATTTTGGAGTTAAATGCATCAATCTGGTGCATTTTGAGGGCAAAATAAAGAGAATAGATCTATGGAAACACCCATATGAAACAGAACCGTATACAAATAATATGCTAATGTTCCCGTTCAACATGAGACCAAATGTTTCTATGGATGTCCGTTTCTAACCACAACAAAGGCCAGAAAGTGGCCTGCAACAGACTGAGTAAGGCTTGTTTCCAGCAAAGCCTATTGCCTGAAATTCAAATTGGCTACTAAAGCAGTTGTTTATAACTATCAGCCGATTATAGGAGTGAAAAGTCAGCAGTCAATGAAAGTATAAAATAGACAATAAAAAAGATTTTTCAATAAATGTGAATCAGTGCTACTACAAGAGGTCCATGAGTATAGAGTCGTACACAAAAAGTATTACGCTGACGGGCCCAGTAGTATACGAGTTTAACTGCAGGCAGACAGATGCACACATGCACACATACACACACACACACACACACACACACACACACACAAACTAAATGCATGATCTCCCACCAGGCTTATTCCTGACGGAGATAATAAAAACAGTCGTGCTCAATTCAATGAACTCAGGGGTTTATCAACTTAACCTGCAGCTCCCCTTCAACATGTCCCATCCAGAGAACAACGTTCCTGTCTGCAGCGTTTCAACGTGCACGTCTCAGCACAAGTGTAGCTATTCTAGTTTCTACATATTTCTGTATTCTAAATACATTTTCTGAGCGAGAGCAAAACACAACCTAATTAACAAGGGACATTTTTCTGGTCGTTCTGATGTCAGTGGTCTTTGTTGGGCGTAGGCGAACCAGAGTTTAACAATGCACAACACCTTGAGCACTAACCCAAACAACAGTTCACGGTCAGAGGAACAAAAGCAGGAAATGATGATGAATTTTAGGAAAACAAAAGAGCCTTTTTAAAGGTTGTTTTGTAACTGTACCAAACCGGCAGTGGAAACAGAAATGGAAGCATGCACCCTCACATATACACACACACTGCATGAATATTGGATGATAAGATGAAAGGACTAAGACGTTATTTGACTGCAGGGTTTATGATTAAAATGATGGGTAAAAGGATGCATCAGGTGACAAAAAAAAGGACTCAAAGCTGGATGATTTTCATGAGTGTTCCCATGATTCACAGCAACCAGGGGTAAAAACAAGGTGACGTTTTGACGGGTGACAAGCGGTGTCCCTTTGACTCAGTGTTACAGAGACGAGGTTGACAGAGCGTGGCACTTGTCCATCTTCTGGAGGAGAGGAGTCTGCAGCTGCTGACTGGGCACACTCACAGGATATCACACCGCTTATTGGTCAGATTATACGTGTACAAATGTTTTGGTCTGATGTTGAGTATTTTCTAAAAATATAAACGGGACAAACGAGACAAATTCAGGATGAGAACATTTTTATAGAATTTAGAGATGATGGGTGTGATACAAATATTGTTATTTTATTTGACAGCCACATTCTATTACGAAGAAATGGACTGACTAAACCAAATGTTGCCCAATTTTCCTAGAATTACAACAATATGGCACCACTACTAAAAAAGAACGCAATGAAACCAAATGTGTATTTGATAAATATTTAACTTGAAATATTACCTTTTGTTTTTATCACTATATTCTTTATATTTTTTTACTCTTTATATGTACCTATGTGTCCTACCCCTGAAGTACATTTCTTGTTTGTGTATAATGTTTGATGAACATGTACATTTTCTTGAATAAAGGAAAAATGACTCTCCCTTAAGGTTGATATATCACAATAAGAACGTGCACACACTCACTATTTTAAGCCAAGAGCTCTATTTTAATTACTCGGTTAATTATAAAGATTTTCAGGTTACAAGGTCAGTCACGCTAGATTGCAACCCTTGTCCCATAAGAAGCAGCAGATTCATCACTTGTTTTTTCAATCATTTGCAGTGTCCTGGTTTTGCTGGTTAAGCAGTCCAGTCCCAATTAAGAAGTCTCATCTCAATCCATCACGTCAGCAGGTCATTGATTTCTGTTTCTCTCGCTGAGAATGAGTGGGTTCATCCGGGTTTCTCCACCTTTTCTGGCCTGTGAGCCTGCCACCCGAAGGCGTCATGACCCAAGCAATTAGCTGCTGTGAATATCTGTGTATTATAACATGGAGAGGGCTCCAAATGGATTAAGACAATTCCAAATCCCTTTAAGTAATTTCTAATATTACTAAAATATAATAAGATCAAGACAATAGTTGGATTTAACTTTGCAGTAGATTTGACATTTCCGGAGAAATTTGAGCGAGTATGTGCTTGTTATCACAATATCTCTGTGTATGGTTTTATCACAACATGATTTTATTAAAGATGATAAATGATCTTATTGAATTATTGCCCAGCCCTACCCTAAAGTAAAGAAAGTGTTTTATATACTTCTCACGTGATATGTTTAAAAACTAAACTCAATTTCTGTTCAATATTAGTTTTTTTCCAGCAGGATCTCCAGCAAACAAGGGCTTATATTCCTGACGTTATCTATAGTTACATCTATAAAAAAAAAGGTATATATATAAAGAAAGGCAAAGGTAGATATGAGAACGATAATGGAGCTTTCTGAAAAAAAGATTAAAACTACTTGTATTTCATAGTGAAATTCCTTCCAAAGAGGGAAGAGTAAACATCTGCAGAGTGAATTCAATGACCCCCAGCCTCCATTTTCTCCAGATGGGTGATCACATGGCAATGAAAAGAGGATCCTAATCCCAATCTGGTGTCAGATTTCCAGTGGAAACGGTGCACTGCTGGAGAACATGGAGAAAGTAGGACAGATATGGCTACAGAGGTCAAAGGTCAGTTGACTAGCATAGAGCTGATGAGGTGGGAGCCTTCTCAGTAAGTCATATCATGTCAGAGGGGTTTTCATTTCCAAAGTAGGGTACTGTGAAATGTGACAGTGGTCTGTTTTTTTAGCTTCTGAATGTACACAAGTAAAGCGTTTGAAATATTGATAAATCTGACTAACCTATAGGCCTCATTTAAATTGGATTCGAGGGTATTATGGGATATTGTGTTTCATTGTTTTCAGCATGCCAGCGTTGGCTTTAGTGCAGCCTCCCACTAGTTCCTCACAAATAGGTCAGAAACAGGAGGCTAAAATTATCCATTTCACCACCTCATCACCATGTTATATTGAAACTGAGATTTAAAATCAGCTTTTCTGATCTTGACATAAACCAGAGAGTGTTGATTTCTTTCAGCTATATGTATACCCATGTGGGTCATATTGACACTTTGATACATGTTGATTGTGGGTGGCTTATCCCCTCAACTGTGCTTACTCCTAGTCCTCAGGGTGCTCTGGGCAGGCACCCAGGATAGCCCACATTGAGAGCCAACAAGGTCAGATATACCGTCTGCCAGCAGGGTGAAGTCAGTGAGGAAGAAATGGTTGTTTTGAACATTTATAGTTAAATGGTTATTATGCTAGTTACTAGTAAAGCAGCTTTCTGGTTATTGAGAATTATCACAAATAATGGGTCAAATACTGTTCAATATTCCGCTTACAACCATGAAAAGAAGAGAATTACCAACATGTTATACTCAAAATCCACTTCCACATGCAAATAATGACATCGTTAAATGAAAGAGTACCTGATGCATGGTGGATGAACAGCGATGGGTGTCAGGATGGATGGATGATTTTTTTCTGTTGCGCAAACCAACAATGCATGTCTCCAACTTTTCATTTGTAGGGTCGCACTTACGTGAAGACGAAGAACAGGGAGGTGGAGCCGACCAGGAGGACGGCGGCCGTGCATACCGGGATGAAGGCGCTGGGCTTCAGGGAGTCTGCGCCGCTGGCGGGCATCCTGTCCTCTCCGGTCTCATCAGAGCCTCATACTACCGGGAAGACAGCGAACGCACCGCGCGAGGACCTGTTTGTGTGCCTCTTTCTCTCAGACTGAGCCCTTCGTCAACCTCAGGGAGCCGGAAAGCGAAAATCATAGTCGAAAAAGGAGTAAAAAAGAAAAAAATCCTGAAAGCCCGCAGCGGCACAGCTCACTCCCGCATGCCGTCCTGTCCGTCTGTCCCGCAGGCAGCAGCCGCGCAGATGCCGCCTCTGGTTTATCCGAAAGGTGGAGCTTTTACTCATGGATCACGTGGAGCACTACTACATACCCAGAGCCCCGCTGTGAACTAATGATAGCTTTTTTCTTTTTTTTATATAATTAATAGTCAGCCATGTCTTTTGGTTTTCATAGTAACAAGAAGTTATTAATAACATGCAACATTTAATATAAACAAATATATTATATGATCTTTTTTTTTTTTTTACGAGAGCACTAAGTCACCACTTATTGATTGTATAGATCCGGTACAAACTTCCTTTAATGTTTAACTAATAGCTTTATTAATGGTAAGGCCCAATTGAGAGGATTATGCTAGTAGGACCAAATATGAATTTATCATTATTTTCAAATATGAAATTTTTTTATACCATGATTGTAATTTAACATGTAGAAAAGTAAACCACTAAACTTTAGCAAAAGTATTTTTTTATGTGCTTACAATTACAGAGAGGGGGCTTTAAAAAAAAAAAGCCCATGAGCATTCATTGATGGGTTATAATGACAAGTTCACCATTTATAGTGACCTTAGTTGCTCCTGTATGACCTTTTATACAAAGAGACCAAACAAAAAAGAGAAAGTGGTGCCAACGTACCGCAGAAACATGTTAAATGTAAAAGGGGAACGAGACATTGCATACACAGTAGTGTGATAGAGATGTTTGTTTTGAGGATTAAAGGAGAGAAAATCAGGAATTTGTCTCACCACCGGGGTGTAAAACCATGCGGTTCTGCATAAAGAACTAATAGGCTCTCCCGCTGTGCAGCTGGAAGTTAAGAAGTTATTTTTTCCACACATGCACGTATGAAGTTCACTCAGAGTTTATTTTGTCATATGCAAAGAAGTAGAACTGAACTGCAGAGATGATAAGGGTGGAATTCTTCCTAACCTAACCTAGCCTAACCTATAGTGTAGAAACAACTGTTTGACACTACAGGGTTAATGATTGTGGTTCAGATAATACACTAGGGTAAATCAGGGAAAACTCGTTGGGAGGGCGTGTCATGGTCTCAGTGGGACTACATGATGACAGCTCATTGAGGGAAACCAATAGTGAGATGTTTGAACTCTACAGTGATTGGGCCTGGCTTCTTACCTACCTCTATAAATACCATAACACATCACAAGCTTTAGAGAACTGTGAGACCAGTCGACTGTATAGTGAAGTTCAAGTGTCACCTGATCCTGTGAGCCATGGATGCTGAACAGCTGATTGAATCCCTCATCAGAGCACTCATGTGTTTGGCAGGGATTCTGGGAAACAACATGCTGGCTATACGCTCCCTGCCTGGGAAGAAATCTGGCATCCGCACCAACGAGCTCCTTTTCATCAACCTGGCCGTTTCCAACCTCATCACCAACTACCTGGTGGACCTCCCTGACACCATAGCAGATTTCGCTGGACGTTGGATCTTTGGGGAAACATTCTGCAGAGTGTTTAGTTTTTGTGCAAACCTCTCGGAAACCAGCAGCATCTTGACGACCTTCTTCATCAGCGTTTTCTGGCACCAGAAGCTGGTGGGCTCCCTGAAACGTGGAGGGGCCCCTGTGAAGCTGGACAACCTCTTCTTGGTGGGCTGTCTGACGGCCGGGAGCTGGACGGTGGCTGTGGCCTTCAACGTGCCACACTATATGTACGTCGGATTGGTGAGAGGCAATGACAGCCACTTAGACTGCGAGGATATGTTTCCTGAAGCAACAGCCGCACAAATCTACGAAATCTTCTATCTCACCCTGGCTAATGCTCTCCCTATTGCTGGTATTGTATGTACCTGTGTACAGATTGTCATCACTTTGTTTCAAAACCAGCTCCGCGTACAGGGTAATGACTCTGAGGCTACGAAGGCGATAGCTGAGGATAAACATAAAAGTGTTGAAAAGATTAACGATGACAGATCAGTCAGCACTATTTCTGTTGGAGGCAACACAAAAGATCCCAAAGACTCTCCAACACACGTTTACACAGGCGTGCCTCCTTCTGGTCCAAATGGAGACCTGACGGGTCACAGCAGCCCCAAAAAGGAAACAAACACAGACAGCAGTGATGGAACTCCACCAAAGGTCTCAAAGGCCAGCAAGATGGCAGCTAAGCCCAGTAACTCTCCAAGCGCTCAGGTGAGGGCAGCCAAGAGCGTGGTGGCTGTAGCCAGCGTGTTCGTGGTCTGCTGGGTGACTCATCTGCTGCTCCGCATCACCAACAACATCCACACATCGTCCATGGTGAAGGAGGTGGCAAGCTATATAGCAGCCTCCTACACCTGCATCATCCCCTACATATTCCTGTACGGAGTGAAAAAACTGTCTTGCTCATGCAAAAGGTAGAAATGTGTACAACGCAGACAGAGGAAATGATCAGATTTGAGCATTTAAAACATAGTTTAGCTGTTGAGGAAACACAATAGATGGGGATAAACAGGGTCAAGTGCAAATGTTCTAGCCAATTGGTAGCTAATCTCCTTTGTTCCCTTCAATACTACGTACTTTAGATCTGAAATGTTTAGCAGTATAGTATTTTCTTTGAGAAAATTGACGGCAACTAAATCATTTCTTAAGTCAAATACCAAACATTCCCTAGTTTCAGTCCTTCAGAGATAAGGATTTGCTGCTTTGCGTTCTCTTATGTGATGGTTAAGAGGATATTTAGGGGGTTGGACTGTTGTTCAGACATAAAGACATCACAATGCAAAATGTTGGTAGTGAAGATTAGAAAATATAATATCACTGCAGTTTATAAGAGAACTTATCATTCATGTATTCTAGCTACCTGTTGTGCCCAAAGATGCATGAAGACATTATACAAATGTAAAGTTCCTCACGGATTACATTTCTTTACAATCTGGCTGATGTACGCAATATTTTGGCACTTGTATTTGTGTACGGACTGTTATTAAGTTATATCAACCCACTATCAGGTCAAAAATGATTTTGTTTTTTTACGAGGCTACAAATTGTGCACTTGAGTGTAAAGCTAATTGGAGAAAGAAGGAAAACACTGCACTGTTGGTGATGACAGTAAGAAGTCTTGAGTGCCATTTGCAATTAAAGATAATTGTGTAAACACAAACAGTGACACCATTAAGTCCAATATTGCACTCCCTCTGCAGAGTCACATAATCAACCCAAAGCAATTAAATCCTCCTTTCTGCTGCTAATTGTTCGTAATGTTTAGTTTTCCTAGTGTTTTCAAAACATCCACAAAAACCATGACAAGTTTTATTTCTTTATAAAAAATGTTTTATGGTTTTTTTCAAAGATTTCGGTGTAGCACTGTGATCTGCACCGGGATAAAAACTTGCTCTACATTCAAAACAATCACTTAAATCAGCCAAAAAGACAAAATGTAAATGATACACATGGAAAACAAATGTTGAGTTGTTTGAATGACCTTTGGCAGAAGAGACGACATTGTGGCCAAGTTATGTACATAATTACAACATCCATCACTTTGTTTGGAGGTAACGTAGAAAAATCTGAATGACTCCCCTGTGATCAAAAGACTTAGGTCAGGTATCTTTACATAAGGTAGTCATACGAAAATATCAAAAATTCATTATCAATAACTGCTTTTTCAATACATGAAAACCCAAATATCTTGTCAATTTAGACATCCATATTTTAGACCTAGCTATTTCAACACAATGCAGATAACCAAGTTGTATTTCAGCATAATGTTTAGACTTAGAACAAAATGTATTAAATAAGTTATAAAACTTCTTCGGTCTCCCTCATCTTTATCAGAAGACTTAAGAGTTATCGGCTACCAATGTCCGTTATAAAGCACCCGCTAAGCTGGAACGTATCAAACCGAAGGGAAAAAGAAGCAAACTCGATCAGCTGTTTAATTAAGGCCAACAGTGCGAGATCCAGAGGTCACCTGTCCCGTGAAGAACGGCATGGCTAGCGTCAGTGGAGTTTCTCCAGCTTCGCCTGCAGGGACTTGAAGTTCCCGATGGTTTGTTGAAGGGCCGAGTTGGGGCTCAGAGACTGCAGCTCCACCAGGTATCCACAGATGTTGTCCAGACACACGTTCGTGAACCGGCGTCTGAAATGGAGGGAATACAAGCTGTTAAACCAGGTTTACTGTAGGTTTATTGCAAGTTTTCTCAGTTTAAAAACACACTAGTTGTCTTGCTGATGCTACAATAAGCTTCTGTATTTCTTATTTGTATTTCCCCAGACAGTGATTACTAGCTGAGATGCAATGTAGGGAAATTTGCACTTAAATCACTATCCATCCTTTACATTAAAATAGCTTTAGGAACACATTTCTCCACAGCCTGAATGGTCAGGAGTATGTATGAACCTTTCTCTGTACATACAGGCCTGTGAGTATTGTCTCAATAGTTTTTCTATCTACTGTGTGTTTGACTGACTGAATGTATCTGCTGGTGGTAGCACAAAAGTGATAGACAGACACGATGTGTTGCCTAGAAAATAGCAAAAAATGCCTCAGTATGATCAACACAAAGCCAAACACTACAGCCCCCTATGCAGGCCAGCAGCTGAGCAGCAGTGATTACCTGTCATAGGTTGGTACTCTGCTGGGATCATCCACGTATCCTGACAGAAGAACGTGGATACACTCCACCAGGTGGAGAGGTTTCTTCAGCCGCTGCCAACAGGGATCCTACAGGCCCCAAGGCAGAATGGTGGATTAAATAAAATACAATTTAGTCTTCAGTCCACAAGAACAACAACTGCTGCTTATAATCATGTCCATACATTTCAGCAAAACTATAAAAAAGGATGGATTTAAACAATGGTTTTTTTAAGCATGTA